TTAAAATATGTCAAATTTTAGTATGCCGAATTATAAGACGAGACTCATTAAATGAAGCACACGAAAGGTTAATCAAACAAAAATATGAAGTGGAAAAAATCACATCAAATCTTCATCTTTCCTTGCATTTGCATGAATGTGCATATGATTATGGGCCATTATACATTTTTTGGTGCTTTTCATTTGAAAGAATAAATAGTATACTTGGTAAGTTTTTAATATATATTAGTTTTATTACTTACAGTATTCATTAATAAACTTTAATATAGGTTTTTTGCTAAATAGTCATTGAAAAATTGAACCAGAATTAATGCAAAGACTAATGAATAACTGCCGAATTTTATATTTGACATCAACTTATTCAGATAAAATAGGATTTGAATTTCTGAATAATGGATCAAATGTTGGCTCAATTTCTGAACTGAATCAATTTTCGGCTGACGAATTATATCGATTTTTAAACAACACATATAACATTCATAAGACAGTTACCAATGGATCAGAAAAATTTCCGGGTGAATTATTATGTCCCAAGAAATTGAATTTAATATTACCTGCCGAAATATTGAATCTATTAGTCAAATATTATAAGGCTTCATATAAAACAATGAACTTTCGAAGACCATTTACAAATAATATTAATGATTCAATAGTTATTCAGAATAGAGCAAATCAATATGGAAGATGCTGAATAGAAAACAAAATTTTTGATTCTCTTATATCTTCACGAAATGTAAAGGGTTCATTTGTGTTAGCCTGATTTGTAATCATGATGGAAGTGTCAATTTATATCCGGAACAAGTTCAATTTTTTTTCACATATTCAGTTAATTTTTCGAATAATGTGGTATACTATAAATTAACTTTTATTTGATGGTTTAAACCAGTTAATTCGGCAGATATAAGATTTCATTTTGGCTCAGAAAATGAAACAAATGTTGAATTATGGAATACTGAATTTTACCCAATTAAATGTGAATGTATAATCCCTATTTACAATATTTTTGGCCGATTTATTCCATTTATATATAAAATATCAAATCAGTATAATTCTTGTAAATATTTAGCTGTAATTTTATTAAACCACAAGTATAATATTTAAAATCACTAAAAATCAGCTATAATTAGACATAAAACATTTTTTATCTAAATTTGATTTTTTTAAAAAAAATATACTGTAAATTTTATTTTATTTTATTTTATTATAATTATTACAAAAAATAAAATATTATTTTATAAATCGGCATATGCCGAATTTTTGCCAAGTGGTATTATGCCGAATTTTTACCAAATAATACTATGCTGAATGTTGTATCCAAATGTTTGACGAGTGGCAGTATGCTGAATAGCACTATTTTGACTAGTGTAATATCATTAGGAACCCTATATAAATAATAAAGTGATGATGTTTATCTACTTAAAAAAAATAAATTTTATAATTTTAAATTAATATTTTAATAAAACTTTAATATATATCTATATATTGATAAATATCAATTCCTTTATTATTGTATATATTGTATATTGTCATGAGTCAGGATTAAAAATAGTTATAGTGCAAATCTTAACTTTGTGACACTTAACAGGGATTATGGATTTTAACAGGAAGAATAATAGATAGAAAAAATATATAGATTTGATAAGTTTATATATTTTGAAAGAATTTTATTAACTAGGAATAATATAATAAGTATAGTGATTTAATTTGATAAATACTTTTTTTATTATCTTTTTTTTTCTTTCTTATTATCTTTCTTTTATTATATTATTTATATATTTTTTTATTAGCATAAAAAAATAAAAGAAATAATCGATTGAAATAAAATAAAAAAATTAAAAAAATTAAAAAAATTAAAAAAATCAAAGAAAATTATAAAAATAAAGAAAATAACAAAAATAATAAGATTAATAATCAATTATTCAGATCAAAAACTCTTTTCTAAATATAACTCCTTTCGTAAAAATTGTCTTTTTAGGAAATCTTCTTTTTTCCAAGAAACTTTAACTAGTGGATTATATTATTTGGAAAGGAAATTTAATCCTAAGGACTGCTATTGAGTAGCAAGGATATCAACAATAGCTCTTGAAATATAGCAATGGTCTACTCAAGAAGGTCTAATACTTGTAAAGATATTGGTCAAATAACTTGGTTATTAGAAGATAATAAAAACTTTTTTTTTATATTTAGGCCTTTTTCTTATATTAACAAATACAAATCTTTAATAAAATCCTTTTTTTTCAATAAACTATATATTAATCAAGAGACAGTATTTTATTTTTTTTAGAGTTTTTTGTTTTCTACTGATAATAACTAGTAAATGATTCTCATATCCTCTGACTAGTCATTAGTTCTTACCAATTTTTTCACCTAAAAAATTGAATTCAGCTTATTCTTATCAAAAGATCTACCTTATATAAAATACCAATTATATTTTGTATTACAATAATATAATCCAAACATCAAAATAATAATATTTTACTATCAAAACAAATATAGACTGGATTGAAAGAATACATGATCAGTGCCCTATACAGGTTTCAGTTATTTGACTTACCAATATATTTATTTTAAAAACATAGTCATACCATACTATATCTAATCATATTAATTTACTTATTATCTTAATAATAGAGTTGTGTCCTATAAGTAGCAATACTATTGTTAAAGAAGAAAGGTAGCCAAAGTCTGATCAATATGAATATAAAAACAATCTTATTTTGAGTGAAAGTGAAATATCAAGAAGTTGCAACCCATAATCTGGTAGTTTACACCAGTGCTCTGCTATTGCTATTGGAGTTATGCCCAACTGTCAAAAAGAAAGCCTTGAACTTAAGTAGATATATTGAATCTGTATCCCGCGAGAGAGATTATTAACAAAAGATAATATACTTTAAACTCTATTATATCTTACTACTTCAAATATGGCGATCTAACTTATAATGTTTCTTTTTATTAAACGTAGATAGTTCCTTTTTTTTTTTTTGCTACAGGATTTTTTAAAAATATATCTACTACAATAGGTAATAGACTAATATATATATAATGTATCCATATATTTTATATTTTAATATATGTTAATAGTCATATCTATTACTAATAAAGATTGCGAGACATGTCTCACCTTAACAAAAAAAAAAACAATAATTAATTATTCAATTAGATAACCTCTGTAATGAGTAATTTTTATTATATAGTTTTTAAAATATGTTATTAATTATTATTTCTTCATAACAATATATATTTATTTATTTTAATTAAATTATTATTTATTAAATTATAATAAAAAATATTAGTTCAATTATATATATTTTATTTAATATATTGATAAATTTAATATTATATAAGATAAGATTTATAAAAACGACTATATTTTATTTATTTTTTGTTATATATTAATTAATTAATTTAAAAAGTTTAATCAATTACAAAATTTATTTTTTAATATTTATTAATTAATTAATTAAAAAGTTTAATCAATTACAAAATTTAAAATTAAATAAAAAATTTTTTAAAAATTTTAAAAATAAAAAAATAAATGTTAAAAATAATAATATAAAAAATTTGTAACCAAATATTTGTTTTTTTAAAAAAATTTTTTTTGATTTTTAAAAATATTTTTTGATATACAGTATATATTTTTTAATTAATACAGTTGTATCTTTCTATGGTTATTCCATTTTTGTTCTATATTAATTTTTATAAAAAAATATAATTATATTATAAACAGAAATTTTGTTATAAAGTTTTATAATAAAATTGATAAATTGATAAAGTACTATAGTGACTATAGACTGTATTGAAATTAACATAAATAACAAATTAATCAAAAATATAGAATTGACATGCAAATCATAATCTAATTAATTAGACATGTTGTAATCGAGTCAATTGCTAACATCGTAAAATATACTGTACTTTATCCTATCTTACACAATAATCCATTAACTACATGAGTACGTAACTATCGGAAATGACATAATAATTATTATATAACCATTTGAAGTTTTTTGATGACTAATTTTGCTAGTCATTTCCGGTCACTTCTGATAAATTAATAGCTTTCTACTACCTTTCACGAATGCTAATAATCCATTTGTTTAACTTGTTAAAAACCAAGATTTTAATCCTTGATATTTAACTTATCAGAGAGTTTAAACGAAAGCGAGATACGGTATAAATAATGTTTGATGTTTACGGAATGTCAATTTGAAAATATAAAAAAAATTATTTAACCTAAAAAATGATTAAACCACTATATCTTTTCATTGTCAATCTTTTTCTCATCATCATAATCACACAACATACCACCTCCCTCCCGCTGCCCCAGATTAATGATTTCTCTAACGAACATTCCTCCAGCATTCACCACAAACGTTGTCTGTTTCCAAGGATCACAGTTTTCGGTTGTTTTCCACCGTGCTTCTTGTTATGCACACCTGTTCGACCGATGGTGAGGTTGTTGTTCACGCCTATCACACCGTTTCAACCTGTACAGCCGGTGGGGATGATAACGTATTAAATTATTACCGAAATCTCGGTCAAAACCTGTTGTTTTGCATTTAAATAATGGAAACTGCTCTTTATAAATATTACTAACTATGCACTCAAAAGTTTTTACTTTATTGGGAAATTACTCTTTCTACAATAATGACAAATCATGTAAGGATTTACATAAATATGTGATTTTAATCACGTAAGGATTTGCATAAATATGTGACTTTTCGTAATTTTTGACTTTAATGTCGACACGATACTCACCAGCAAATAATCTCGAACGTAAAGAATTAACTATAGCGTGGTGTCTTGCTCATGGTTTAGTTATACGTCCAAATTCACCCAGTGATTCGTCCGCTGTTCATGCACCGGTTGCATTGTACCCGAGTTTATTTCCTTCTAAAGAATTTAAATTAGCTTTAGAATTACAGCCCGTTTTTAATACACTGTATTATAAACTAAGTCAGAGTCACGAATTCATAAAAGTTTTTGAAGTGTAAATATTATTTTTTTCTTGTGATTTTACTTATTTTAATTGTGTGAAATAATAATGAGAAATAAATGTATCTACAACAAGAATCTCAAAAGTTGACGAGTTCATTGAGCAATTATATAACATATACCTTACTGTGAAGGAAGAAGGTTTTTCTCAGGTATGCATATACGTACTAAGTGTTTGCGTCTATCTGCTGATCTTAGAACGTCTTAATTACAATTAAACATATTCCGTATCAGCCGATATCTTTGGGAATACACCGGTCCGATTATATTTTACATTCTTCGCCCAATGCTGAAGAAGCCCACATCAAACAAGTGGAATTCAATACAATTGCCTCCTCCTTTTCGTCATTGTCATCTCTGACGAGTGATTTGCACAGGTCAGTTGAGACCTCTGGACTTTATAAATAATGAAATCATATTTAGATCACTACGAATTTTCAGGTATCTTTCAAAGTCAATCAATCATGTTGATCCATCGCAAACGCCCGATGACGAAGCTCTCCCATCAAATGAATCAATGACTAGCATACCTCGAGGAATTGCAAAAGCGCACCAACTTTATGGATCCAAGAGGTATCCTCTTCTCTTTTTGTATCTACTTACTTTATTCGGTCATTATGTTAACTCTATTCGTGCAGCGCCGTGGTTTTAATGGTGGTTCAGTCTGGTGAACGTAATGTGTTCGATCAGCGATGGATAGAATACGTCTTGCTAAATAAGTAATATCAGTTATTTTATAATAAGTAGTGCCAGTTGTTTTATCAGAGTTTTTTCTTGAAAAATTAACTGGTTTTTATATATTAAGTCACGGAGTGCATCTTATCCGTAGAACTCTCTCAGAGATTTACAACGAAGGAAAATTGGATCCAAGAACTAAAGCATTGATGATGTACGTTGGTTTTTGAACCTATCTATTCGCTAGCACATATCATTTTATAACAACTGTATCGAATGCATGTTCCCCTTAAAGCGATGGAAAAGAAATTTCGGTCACGTATTTTCGTTCAGGATACGGCCCCAGGGATCATCCATCTGAAAAAGTATGACTTTTACTTTATTGGATCCATTCTTTTAACTATCCGACCTTTCTCAACTAAATTTCTTCCATTAGGAATGGGAAGCTAGAATGTTGATTGAACGGTCCAATTCAATCAAATGTCCAACTATCGCGTATCAACTTGTTGGCTCTAAAAAAGTGCAACAAATATTGACTGTTCCTGGAGTTCTGGAAAGGTAGAATTATTGTAGAGGAAAAAATACGTCGTGCTTTTTCTTACATTTTTTCTCTTATTTAAAATGATACAATGTAGGTACATATCCGACCCACAAGAGATCGAAAAGCTACGCTCTTGCTTTACTGGAATACACCCTCTGGATTCGTCTCCTGAAGGTGAAAAGGCTGTGAAGGATGCTTTAGAAAATCCAGAACGTTATGTGATGAAACCACAACGTGAGGGTGGAGGTAATCGTCTTTCTTTAACTCAATAAAATTTTTGGTGTCCTATAATGACATTATCATTCCGTAGGGAATAACATATACGCACAGGACATTCCACCGACTTTATCGAAATTGACATTATCTGAACGCTCTTCATACATCTTGATGGACTTGATACAGCCTCCGCCGATGAGAAACGTTGTACTGAAGGATGGCGAAATAACCGAAGATGATGTGGTATCGGAATTGGGAATTTATGGAATAATCATTGGAAAGGGAAACGAAGAGATTGTTAACGAGGTTGGGGGGCATTTGTTGAGAACAAAAGGAAGAAAGACTAATGAAGGTGGAGTCGCGACAGGATACGCGGTTCTAGATTCACCTTTGTTATTTTAGAAATTCACTGTTCGTCCGAAAGCGGGTTCAATCTATCATTATAAATATTCTTAATATTTTCATAGAATTACTTTGAGAGCTTTAAATTATACCTGTTCTTAAGAATCCTTATTTTACATCATGGTTACTCAAATAAATGCACAAATATAATTGCAGCGAACGGTAAATTATGAACCATTCCAATTCCTACATGTAGCAATAATATATACAATAAAATACAAGGAAAATGGGAATAAATTATATGTTATATTGTCCTAGGCAAACACTCTTATTCCCATCTATATCGCAAAGCTTCGATTGGGCAGTTGGTAGTTTCGTTGACCGAAGAACTGATTCTAGTCTTCTTGACAACCCCGCGTAATGATTTTAATCCAAATTCTGCGGTTCTATCATCATTTTTGTGTAGATATTCTGGATCGTTATACAAACAAGCATCATCACCACTACTTTGTGCATTCCCAGAAGATTCGCCTTTAGTTTCTGGGTTAATATTCTCGTCATCATCCTCATCATCCTCATCATCCTCATCATCATCGTCACCTTCACTATTGCTCTCCGTAATGCTGCTACTGCTTTCACCACTGGAGTCGAAACATCTAGAATAATTCTTGCTTTCCGAAATTATTAGACTCTCCAGGGTAACATAGAGTCGATTCCAAATAAGAACAATATGCTGCTCCCGTATCTCCCTACAATACCTGATATCTAGAACTTTTAAAGGAGCGTGACTATTTTCCAGGAATCTTTTCAATGCCTCGACACTGAACTTCCACGGTGCCAAGATTTCTAAATGAACTAAACTTGGTGGTAAACTCTTTCCCAGTTGAGGCAATAGGTCATCCGCTATAACTTCCGTAAATCCCCAACTGCTTAACACCAATTTTTTTAATCTTGGAAGGGGATAGAACGGACATGAAAGAAGAGAGATAAAATGTGAGTGATCGAATTTAATCGTTAATTCGATTAGTTCGGAATGATGATATTTCTGTATGGCTGAAATTACCGCTGCCGTTGTTTCCGATGTCATTACTATGGAAAGATGTCTTAATGTTCTGTTTGCGTGACTAACTAAAATGTACAATAGGTCAACCAAAGTGCCACTGTCACCTCTGTATCCATTCATGACCAATCTTTTAAGTCTGTGAAACGAGCTATATCTGAATGGTTCCATTACCAGTTCTTGGTGCCGACAATTGTTAAATGTCAAAGTCTCCAAATTTGTTAAATTTGCTACAGATTCTAAGGGATGCCAAAATTCAAAATCAACGTGATGGAATTCAACGGTCGTCATCGTATTTACTTGACTGTTCAGCGACAGCTTAACGTCCTGTAATCTCGACGAGGGACTCCACCAAAATGTTCCGGGATATTCTACAAATATGAACTCTTTTAAATGCCTTTGCACATTAATTAAATTATTCAAAGATTCCATCTCTCGTTGCGCCCTTAAGGTATTCCACTCGTCATTCATGCATACTCCAACGATCAATGTTTCTATTCCTTGGCATGAAGCCGCAGCATTGATAAACGACTGTTCACGATTTTCGCATTTTGCAAAGCATCCTAGTATCCGGATGTTTGAGAAATTATCGTGTGACCGAGGAAGGGGCGGCAACTCCAAGAAAACATCATCGACAACTTGAGGCGAATACAAATCAACATTCTCTTCTTCTTCCTCTTCATAATTATCCAGGTCCTCCTTGATCAATTCTTTTCCATTGTCCCAAAATAGGTAATCAAATTTTGCTCCCCTGGAAAGGAAAAGATTAAATAGGCATCTGGCAATGGTTCTCATCGGATCCTGTCGGAATGGCTTCACCGTTTGCAAAGTTTCTGGATCGCCGTACCACACCATGGCAAAATCATACAAATCTCGATAGTTAAGGCGTTTTATGAATGAAGGGTAATTGAAAATTTTCTTCCGATTGGGTTCCGAAAATTCAATTTTGTATTCTAATAACGCTTCTCTATCTTTTTGCGTGACATCATCTATGCCAATGAAAGACCAATACGTTTCTACCAACGCCGCGGAAGGTTTGTGGCGTGTGCGGCGAAAAGGTTGCCTCCATAAAATTGGGATGGCAATTTTACACCATGTTCTGGTGGCTAAGAGGCAAGAATGTAAGCTTGCAACGTCATCCTCGAGAAACTCTAGTATCCCTTCGACGCAGTCTGCCGGAATGTGAGGCGGTGCCATTTTTTGGGTGAGAATTATTATTTTTTAATTGAGTTTTATGCATTATTTTTTGTGTATCATGTTATGTAATTATCAAAAGAATGTCAGATCATTTGGTTGAACAATCGATCTGGTGATCTTTTTGAGAAACCAGATCACGATATCATCATCAATGAGTGTCCAGACAAAAAGTAAATGAAACGTCATCATTCTCATATTAATTCCTAAAACTTGACAAACTTTACGACAATAACCTGAAGATTAGTAGTCACACATTTCCCCTTACAAGCATCCAATTTCAAGTTCAAGATGACTCATGATCCAAAAGAGGTCAAGGTTAAAGTTGTACCCGATGAACCTACGTTCCAAACCGGGAAAGCTTCTGACGTCGATACCCATCTAAAAGGCTCTGACGTAAATTCATCTGAGGTTGAAGCGAAATCGTACAGAGGCAGCATTCTCGAAATGTTGGATTTGCTTATGGAAAATTATAATGAAGAGGAGGATAAAGATTACCAATTGGACAGTGAGGAAAGTGAAGATGAGAGTGAACCTTCGGAGGATGAAGATTCTTATGAGGATGATGTTGACCTTGAAGAGTTAAATGAAATTGCAAAATCTGTTGTCGATCGATTTGATTCAAATGAAAAGGCCAAGCTACTCGTTCCCGGGATCACAGTCCTTCGCGATGGAAAAAGCATTACATCTTCAAATAACAAAGATGATGTCGAAGAACTCGCTGAAAAGTTCAAGTTTATTTTCTCTTAATTTTTTTCTTATTGCTTGTTCAACTCTTCATGTTTTTCATGTTTGCTACAAAACGATATTATAATTTTTAAGGGTCATATTAATAACAACGGTAATACAAAGACCACAAAATTATTTTCAATGCCTGATTCAACAGGTTATTTTGCATATAACTTTCCTTTTTCTCTTCTTTATATGCGGCGTATATGGTTAGGACCGAGAAAAAATAAGAATAAAAAATAACATTTATTACTGCATATATGGTACCGATTAAAAATTATGAAAATATCTATAAAGTTATAAAAAATATTAAACTTATAAAGAAATTTTAAAATTGCAGACATACACTATATTTTTTATTTACAGTATTTAAATAAGAAAGATTTTTTTTTTTGGTAAAAAATTTATAAAAAAAATTTTTTTAAAAAACTTAAAACTTCTGTGTTAATATCACAAGATTAATTTTTAATGATAATAAATTTTTACAAATCTATTATTATAATAAACATAAATCATCTGATTTTTTTTTTTTTTTTTCCGTAAAAGGGCATTAGATGCAAGTCTTTATTAAATTGTATATATATGATACATGAATTACATCAAACATCTTCATAT